TTTTTTAAACAAAATTTGTAGAGAATTTTGTATTCTACAATATTGATAATAAATACAAATAGCAAAAAACCCATAGGAAATGAGATATTTCCAAAAAAAGCGCAAAAAACCGATTTTTGTGACCTTTGACCTTGAAATTTAATAGTTGCTTACACCCTACTATATGTAGGTTTTGAGACAACTTTTAGGGTGTCAATATCAAGTATTTACAGACTTACAGCTGGGTATCTCGAATTCCGAGGTGAACTTACTATAATGACTGGACTATAAGGTGTACTTCAGGGATTCATAATAGGACACACTTTATTCTTGATTTACATAAATTACCTGGTACAGAACTTTTCATCAATGTCATTCTTTCTATTTGAAGGTGATACAAGTATTCTTAATTTGAAAAGAAATATAGATGAATTGGTGTCAGATTGACGAATTGAAATGAATGACATTCTAGATTGGTTCACAGCAATCCAGCTTCTGATCAATTTCAATAAAACAGTCAGTATGATTATTCACCCAAATAAGTCCCGCGAACAACCTGAAATATTTACAAAAATTGAGTATTGAAGCCAACTACAGAAACCAAATTCTTGCCATATATGCAATATAAACTATAAAAAATTAACTGAGTTTCAACATAGCAAAGACTGTATACTAACAGTTATTTCCAGAGTACAATTATGGTGTCAAATTCTGGAGAAATTCTTTCGACAACAACTCGACATTTATTTTACAAAAGTGAGGTATTCTTGCTCTTTTGGGACTCCAAAGATCAGATTAATGTAAAAAACATTTCCTTAAGTTGAAAATATTACTATGTACATATTCAAAATAAGCATAGCTGCATTCAAAAGAAAACGAAATTTAAAAAAAATTTCTGACATACACAATCACAACACTCGTAACAAGGACACTTTCTTGATACCATAATTCAATTATGAAGTGAATGTAAAAAGACCATCGTACATGGGAGTCGAAATTCTTGATAAATCAGCTAATACGTTCAAAAATACAACTTCAGTTTACAAATTCAAAATAACGTTGCGATAACTTCTACAGACTAAAGTGTAATATTATCTCAATGAATTTTTTGATGATTCTACCATCAAGTACATAAATGGAAAAGAAAATTGATATTTTTTCAGAATATCACCCAGTTTCAATATGATTTTCTGGCAAACTTCCGTATGACAAAAAAATAATGAAACATTTTTTCTCATGCTTTTCAAGCGCAACTTGTCATTTTTTACCTAAATTATACATAGTCATGAATGTAGTTTCTTGGGAAATCAAACTTGTCTTGTCTTGTCATCTGAAAGGTATTTCGATACTGCATTTAGCGATGCTCATTAATTTGATAATTTTTTTACTGGGTGACCAAAAATCAATTTTCAAGTGGGAGAATAGCTTCATATGTAACAAAATTCAACAGATAAATAAGATGTTCAAAATGTCATCCACCAGTCTCTCGATACGGATACATTTCTCTTGCAAATTGTCAATAACTTCTGGGGTAATTCTGCACATTTAGACTCTAATTCGATATTTCAACTCGTCTAAAACATACATAGACTTTCGATTTCAAATAACAACACAAAAAAATCTTGTGTCATAAGATCTAGAGATCTTGGGTTTCACTCTATTGTTCCGCGTTTACCAATACACCTCGCGAGAATCGCGCGAACATCACGTGCATATTGCGGGGATGCAGCGTCATATTGCAACCATATGCTTCCATTTGGTAAGTTAGAATTGTTGGCGTTTGGAAAAATATTGGCAATGGAAGATGTAAGGGCCAACATCCCTGTCTTTCATTATCCCTGCCCAAGCATTGACTTTCTGAGGGTGTTGAGTATGCCCCTCAATCATCCAATGAGGATCATCTCCGCTCCAATATCTGCAGTTTTGACGATTCACAATACGTTATACAGAACGTTGAGATATGCTATTGTCTGATGCAATTTGCCGTTAAGTACTGTGAGAATTATCCTTTACACTTGATAGAACCTCAAGTTCAACGGTATCTTATATTTTATATGTTTGGCAAGACCAGTTTCTCTAAACTTTTTCTCAAACTCATCAACTGTTGATGAAGTGATGGATCTAATTTGGTACTTCGCATCAAACAAGTCGCATGCTACTTGCTGATTTCTGGTTTCATCTTCGTATAAAAAAATTATTATTTCTATATGTAGTGAATATTTTCCAAAACGTCTTAACTCTCAATTGACATTTACTTGACGCTAACTTTCTTTTTATCACAGTATTTGCGCCTTTTTCATCCATTTTGAAAAAATATCTCAATAAAAATCAAGTATGAGTTGATATAAGAGCTATTCATTCAGAAGTGAAATTTTCCACATAGAAATTCTCCTTACTTATGACAAAACAATCACCAGCCCAGGCTACTAGGAGCAATATTCGTACAATATCACAAACATGCAATAAGCTTGCGAACGGCTCGCGTGTGGCTCGCAAGCCGCATTCCAATATTTTTTCTAACGCCAATAATCATAACCGAATTAAAACATATTATTATAGCATGAAAATGCATCACCACATTATGCCAAGTGATGTTTGCAAGTTTCTAAATAACTATTTTCCTAGGAGATGGATTAGTAGGCGCGGAAGGATAGATGAGTGGCCACAAGATCTCCGAATCTGAAGCAACTGGAATTTTTTGTACGGTTATTGAAAATCGAAACCCTATGTAGGTATACTGTGAAATTTAAATGAGGAATTACTCCAGAAGTTATTCACAATGTGCAAGAGGGATATTTCGTATGAAAGTTTAAGATATCAATGCAATGCAAATTTGAATTTTTCGAATGAAATGAGTTATATTGTTTTCCATATTCGGATTCCGCCAGGAAAGTACTTTTGAAAAATATAATACTGTTTGGGTTTATACCGAGTGATTCAAAAGTTGATTTATTCAACCGTTCCTATTCTCAAAATGGTTTAAAGAATCTGTTCCGTAATGGAGAGGTTTGAATATTTGAGTTTCTTCATTATTTAATTTCAATATGAATTTTCTCATGCTGTAATTATTCTAAAATAGAAAAACATGTTTTCTTGATTTTTTCATGAAACAGTAAATTTTCTATTTAGGATCTGAATTTTCTTCGAAAAGTCCCTTTTGAAAATATGGAGTTGTACAGGCAAATACCTAGCAGTTCGAAAGTTGCAGTAAAACTAGTTTCAAAAATATATTTTTTTTGACAATGAACTTCTTTTAAAAATATAACCCTTTCAATTCAATTATTTACAATAATTTACAATCTTTCATTATTTGATATTGGAAGAAATACATTTCTGAGACATACCTATCCATGAATAAACTCATTTCTTGGCTTCTGGATCGCTCTGTATATATCTATACAGATTTTTGTTTTTCGAAAGTACTTCTCAGGAAGAATTTAAATATCGAAAGTAGTAGACGCGGAATGTTAGAGAGGAACCCAAGATCTCCAGATCTTACGCCACTAGATTATTTTTTCTGTAATTTCATTAAAATACTTACTTACTTACTTTGATATGCCACGCTTCTACTGATAGCCCTGAGTAATGGATTATATATTGATGTCTGCAACTTTTATATAAAAATATTCTGAAAACTTCACACTTTCATCTTTTACCTATAATGAAAGTTCAGTGTGATACATACACACTATATTAATTTTCCTCACTATTTTGTGAACTGAGAGACGAATAGCGTCAGACCGGATTATGTGTTGAAATTATTTAAAATCAGTTATATTATATCCATTGCTACCGAAATATTTTATATGCAAACAAAAATGTTAATATATTTTCATTCATATATCTACTAATTTTCTAGATACACTGCACTATTTTCGGATAAGGTTGACACCACCATTATAATGGAAGAGATACTGAATTCAAATCAATTAATAGAAATACTTCTAGAGAAAACAGTACTGGTCCTGCAGACTTATTACCGTGAATTTGAAGCCGAAGGAATACATGTCATAACTAAGATTTTAAGAAAAGTGACGAAAGTGAATAAGAATATAATTCAACTTTGTGTGAATATTATCAATTCCGTCATGAACATACAAAAAAAAGTATTGAAAGAGTCACAAGTGAAATTCCGAGCTACAGATCAGATCTTGGGTTATTTTTGGAAAATAGTAAAACTCATGGATTACGATGAGGAAAATTATACTCTCGTCTATCCTAACATCGGACTAACGGTATTTTCTTTGGAAAGAAATGGACCAATTGGAGTAGAAATAACAAAATTCGAAACCACATATACTTTCGATTTGTTATGGGAGAAACCCATGGAGAAAAGAAACATAACTTCCAAATCAACAACGATAGCTTTGAGTCAAGCACTGAAAGATGAGATTTTAAACAATCCATCTTCTGTTTCCTACAAAATAATAGTTGCAATGTTATTGAATGATGCTCTTTTCAACGAACCAAATGATAATAGAGAAGTTGGACCGATTTTTGAACTGGCAATTCCAAAATATAACACCTCTCTGAAACACGGGATTTTTTACCATCGGCAAGATCATGATTACGGTAAAAAAGGAAAATGTGCTTATTGGAATGATTCAGAAAATACCAATGGGTCATGGGAAATATGGGGACCGTTTGTTAAAAACTCGACATGTAGGTTTTTTCGACAAGGATACTTTTCCGTAATTTCAGAAGACTACTTCAATGTTACAGAAGCTTTGAAACTAATACGCGCCTCAGTTGTTCCAGATTTGAAAAAGCTTGAGGAAACGGAAAACATTTCGTATCTTTATGATCAGTTCAAACCTATAGATTTGAAGTTATTATTCGAAATTTTGGGAGAGGTAGTCGATTTAGATAAAAGAAGTCTTGATGTGATCAAAAGAGTAGCTGATAACATTTTTGCAATATCTAGTTCCATTTTAAACCAATCTCAGATTGACTATGGTGTATTGAACATTATTTTGGATATTATAAATAGAATTGGAAAATATTTAGACACTAATGTCTTCTACAATGTCAGTAAAAAGTTTTCTGTTTTGGTTTGCTCGGTAAACGAAAGTGTAGGTATTGCGTTCAATGGAAGTTTGAGCTGTCTAAGACCTGAACATATGGAAAAATATTATACAGCTAAGCTTGTTTTGAGCAAAACACTAATCAACCACATTATTGTTGATGCGTCTGGAACAGATGACCTCAAAATTATATTTTCTGTGTTTTATGATAATGTTCTCTTCGTTGATGAAGAAAACTTACCTACCACATATATATTTGGACTTGCGATTTCCTATCCTGAAAAAAAATTGAATGGTGATATTTCATTCTTCTACACTGAGAATGAATTTTATAATTTGCCACTTACCTGTTCTTACTGGAAGTATCAAAAAAATAATCTTGGACGCTGGGTAGAAGTTAGAACTTCTGAAATATCTTCATATAAATCTTGCCTGTACAGAAGTGCTGGATATTTTGCCTTGGTGAAAAAATCACCCAAAAATCTAACAGAACTGCTTCAAAACATTCAGCAGGATACTGAATCTTATACAGAAAAACTGAATGAATTGTGGAATATCCTATTTGGAAATAAAGACACTATCGAGCCGTCACATGTTTTTATTATGTCAACAATTTTAAATAGCCATGAAGTTGGAAGTGATGAAGTTTTGATGCTAATTGGTGATATTATTAGTTTGATGATGGATTTCAACAGGACAGTTCTTATAAAATCTCAACAACAGTATAGTTCCACTGACTGGATACTTCACAGTGTTGACACGCTAATAGCAAATTACCAAGGTAATATATGATAATTATCACAATTATTTGTGTACAGTACAGGGACTTTTTTGTATTTTTTTGTTATTGAGATACATATTTCTGAACGCTGATTACGAATCTGAAGTAAACACAAAACTTTAATTTATCCAAAATAAATTTTCTTTGAGAGTGATATTCTAAAAAAACGCCACCATTTCATGTTAAAGTGAGAAAAAGAAAGATTGCTTGGCCCTATTTCAGAAATTCTGACGAGCTTTGCTTCAAATAATGAAACTGAGCTTCACATCAATATTTGCAAATATATGTTTGACATTTAACTACCCCTAAAATAACATGATAATACGATACATCATGATTTATTTGATTACAATATATAAACAAGAATCGTTTTAAGGAAACTTTTTTGCACAATTCAGAGCCTTACACCAGTTGTATTTTGATATGACCGTGTTGTATATCGATGACTTGTTGCACAATAACAGAGAGTTTCAGTTTGAGAATTCAAAAAGTTGTACCGCGAAAAGAAAAACTTTTTCAACATTCACGGCCGAGAATAACTATGTGAAAGCTATTTTCCAATTTTTTTGGCCGTGGTCGACAGGTTTTTATACCTTACGTTTCGTCCACTACTGCGGAATATATTAGCAAAAACAACGTAGTGAAGGTCGCAGTGCCCGTGTTGGTGCTCCTGTTGTTCAGTGGGCGTGACTTGCTTTATCTCAATTTGATCACCTGACCCTGTTTGGGTACCTCTAAGGACAGGTAGCCAGACTTGATTGATGTTCATTCTCTTGTTTTCTATTGAAATTATTTTTAGAAAAATGAGAAATGTCACTGCAGTTTCGTCCAATGAGGACATTTTCGAACTAATACAATAGACTTTTCATTGTATTGGTTTGAAAATGTCCTTATAAGACGAAATTGCAGTGAAGTTAGTTACAGATAAAAGTGGTAAAATACATAGAAAGTTTTATTTCTCATTTTTCATTATGATCTTCTACCACGTAGTAACGGCTACATCCATCGATTTATTGAAATTATTTCTGTGTTTTTGAATTTCTATTGCCTTTCTATATACTCTTGGATAGTAATTTTGAGTTTCATCGAGTATTACTGAATCTTCGTATTACACTCTCGGAAAAAAATATTGCATATTCTATTTCAAGATTTTTTTCATATTAATTCCTTTTTCCTTAACCCGTTATTCATTTCCATTGATAAATATTCAAAGGCCGAATTATTTTACGTAAATTTTCTTTCAGAATAAATAAAAGAATGCTTGAACATAGTCGCTATTGGTGAATAAGAAAAACAATGGTACAAATTACAAACTTTGAATACTGTGCCTTTGACACTATTAATGTCTATTGTTTTCTTTATTGTTGTCAAAATTCGAGTACTTTATGTCTTGATTCTGTAGTTTTCTTAGTGAGATGCCGCATTTGAGCAAATTAGTTTGTGTTAAAATTGTTACTTCAGTCAATGCGGAATGCAAACAAGAAGATATTGGGCGGAGATTGCATATCCATCAATTGGCTGTTTCTCGTATTTTGAAGCTATACAATGATACTGGGGAGTACAAAAGGCGGCTTGGTCAAGGATGTAAGAGATGTACAACTCCAAGAGATGACCAATATTTGATATTGAGTATATTGTAACTTGTATATTGTATATTTTATTATATTATTATTTCTGAGGTGCTCCGCATCTCAGAAATAATATACTGATCGCAAAATAAGTTAACATAAGTGTCAAAACAGTGATGAGAAGACTCAAAGAAGTTGGTTTAAATCCAAAACGCCCTGCCAGAGTTCCTAGGCTTCTCCCAAGTCACAAATCTAGACGGTTAGAAGTTACCATGAGTTAAGGAAAATTCTTTTCACAGATGAACAAGAATACAGTTATGGAAATCAAATGGACGTGTTCAAATATATAGAACATTGGACTTAAGGCAGTGGAGTGGCCACCAAACAGTCCCGACGCAAATTCTATTGAACATTTTTGGGACATCCTGAAAAGACATATACGAGCACGAAATCTAGCTCCTAACTTAATTGCAGATTTAGGAATTGCTACACAGGAAGATTTGAATCGAATTCCACAAGAAACCATCAAAGACCTTTTGCGGAGTTCGTCCAGGGGGATGCAGGCTATCGTTAGAGCTAGGGGATGAAGCACTAAGTATTGAACTCTCATTATGTTGCCTCAAAGAACTTTAATTTTGTCGTCATTGTTGCTTGTTCTGATTAAATATCAATACCAAAACTAGTCTTTGGCGATCAATATACTTTAAATACTTCAGCATTTACCACTTAGTGATGAAAACTGCATAGAGATTCGGACAAAAAAAAATAAACATGAAAACAAGGCTTTGAACAAAATATGAAATATTTTTGTCTGTGAGTGTATACTAGTCATTATAATGCTCCCATCATTTTTAAATCAAAATAACGTACGTTTCTTCCACAAGAAAGAAAATTGCAAGGAATTTTACTTCGCAAAATTCGATTCATGTTGATGTTGAACAAAAATAAATTCCTCACAAACGGTATTACATTTGTTAACAAAGATGGCTTTGACTGCCTAATTTTGTGTGAAACGTGGAATAATCCATCGATTTCATTCATTGAAATATGATATATATGATTGTCTACAAAACAATAACTTTTTTATTTTAATAGGGACCACCAGCCTGCTCTTCACAAATCTTGCTATTGTCATTTCAAGCAATATCGTTGGCATAGCTTTCAAAAGAAACTACGATAATTCTTGGATGATGGAAGTGATCAGTACGGAATTTTCATATGAGAAGTTGGCAGACGTAGATGCCTTGCTGGTTGTAGATCGTGAATTGCAAAATCAAATCCAGCAGACCTCCTCAAGTATAAAAATTATTGTTTTCTTCAATGACGCATTATTCCAAGGAAAGTACAATTACACCCGAAAGAACGTAGGCATCATAGTTGGTGCAACATTATCTGACATAAGTGAAGTGAAATTGACAGGACATATCCAGTAAGTAATAAATATTCAGGTGAGGAAATTGAATGGAAACATAGTTTCAACAGAAAATAAAATATCATTTACCATCTGCCATTCATTAAACAAGAAAGAAGGTACATAGATATTGAAAAATTTGAATTTATAGATTTCCATATTTTCCAAAAGGTTAACTTTGAAACCGTTTTTCTGAAAATCAAGGGTCATGAATTTAAGATGACAATCGTATCCCTCTATACGGAGTAGAATACGTTGAGTTCATTTTTTCATTCTGGAAATTGTTCTTTTACGCGTGCTTCAAATTTTTTACAATTTGGCCTGCATGAAATATCAAACCTAATCCATACGACAATTTATGAACATTCGATAACAAACTGTTTATTATTTTCAATATGCATGCTCAAACTCTCATCACCTGAAAATAATTAAAAAATTGTACTTCACTACTTTTTGGCTTCATGAAGTAGAACTGTTTACATCTTCTAGAAAATATAAAAATAAAAAATTAATTGAATTGTTCTCCTGTAGCGCATCAATCCCATTTTTACATTAATCATTTTCTGATCTGGCTTGAAATCCTTGTATCCACCTTGGTTCCTTTTTTTACAGCCAAAAAAGCCTCCTCTCAATGCTGTTATGTTGAATAAATTCCTTTCATCCATTTGTATATTGAACACATTGCTAAATATTTTCTTGATGTCAGCGTTAGCAAAGAAGTATTGACAAGAGATTTACGAACCTTTGAAAACCAGGTGTCCATTTCAATTATGAATTTATTTTCAATACTCTTAGTTGTCTGGCTTATTATTACAGAATTGAAAGCAATATATTTGAAGAAAAAAATACCTGAAATGAAGAGGAGCGAATGAAAATATACAATATAATGTAATACAGTTTGATATTTCATTAGTCACAATATTGTTTCTAAACTTACTCGAAATAGTCTCAGCGAGTCAAAACTCCCAACGTACAGACAAGAAAGAAAAAGCAATCATGTAGCATTACTGTCATGTCATCATAGCAGTCATATGACAGGACGGTATGTTCCATTTTGGAAAAAGGAATTTTTAAATTATGGGTTTGATAGTAACTAAAGTATATACACGTATTTATCGTTAGAGTTAAGTATTACACGCAAATTACACACAATTTGGAAGTGTCCTGAATTACACAAAACACTTAGAAATCACACACAAACCATATGCTTTCACACACCTCTACCAACCCCACGAGGGTGGGGTTGGTAGAGGACACGGTGTTGAGACTTGCAGAAGCAAGGTGTGTAATGATTTCAATGCAGGAGGTAATTTTTGCGAATAATCCAGTTTGTTGATACAGTTGGAACGTTTTTCAATTTCAATAGCTTCGTGCATTATTCTGGCTGAAAAGTATTTTCGGTTGTAAGGAATTTTTTTCGAAGCTCATTAAGTGGCTTGTTTCAAATTGTTGTTTAAAGATCTGGATTTGATTTACGGACAACAAGGTCATTCCCATAGGTTCTGTTGGCGACTCTTCTGTTGGCTGTAAATAATGTTCTTATGTCGTGTTGTCGTATTGAAGTTCGATTTCACATCTATCCACTGGAAAGGTTATATCATTGATGAGAATAAGAAACTCAGGTCCAAAGACCAGTCCGTGAGGAACTCCGTAGTCATGTTCAAGGGTACTGGACTGACATGGTATAACATAAATTTTCAAAACAATCGACAAAGATCACAATTTCAAAATAATCAACAAAGGCCGCAATTGCAAAACATTCGATCTAGGCTGAATTTTTAAATTCAAAACCAAATTTTTCCCTTTATGACTAAACGCAATCCTAATTCGAATCAACAAAGAACACATTGCGGTAAATATCAAGACGCACGGCCCTTTCAAAATTACAATTCAGAATACGAAAACTGCTATACAGCTAGTAGCCCAGAACATGACTATTATACCGATTACTTAAACCTAGAAAAAAACCAATGAACAACCGAATTATGTCTGGAAATTTCTGACATATTCTATCTTGAACGTGACAACATACATTTGAAACTAATGATGCAAGACCCGTGCACACGAAATATTACTGATACCCCCAAATTCATGAAGAGGAATTCAAAACTCGAAAGTTCCAAAATGCTCGATCAAAGTATCATTCAACATTCACCATGCTCATGGTCATCCTTCGTTTGTGTAGTTCCAAAAAATCTAGGCGCTTCAAGAAAACCCAAATGCCAAGTTGTGATTGACTTTCGGAAACTGAACGGATTATCAGTTGACAAGTATCCGTTGCCTAACATTTCTGACCTGTAAGATCAGCTCGGAGAGTGTCAATATTTCACCACCTTCGATCTTGCACCAGGATTTCATCAGATGTTCCGAAAACAGATTTCTCTGTCGAGAATGGGCACTACGAACTCATTCGCATGCATTTCGGTTTGAAAAACGCACCATCCACATTACTTCTTGGCATCTAACACAAGCGCTGCCTTGTGTACATGTGTGATATTATCATACGACTAAAGAAAGCCAATTTGTGAATTTTCAAGAAAGGGAAGTCACGTACTTCGGACATGTAATCACTAAAAATGGTGTTAAACCAAACCTGTCTACTTTGTAAAATTCAATGAGAATGAGAAAAGGGAATTTTTAATCAATGACAACAGAAATGATAATTCTCATTTTTCTATCATTGATAAAGACAGACACCAGCTTATCAGTATCATAGATAAATCCATTCGTTTGTTTTATGTGTTCGTGTAGTTGTTGTGTTGTCTCGAAAATTTTATGATTTCAGTATTTATTATTTGTATTATGTGTACAATGTGTCTCAATATTTTGAAATAGATATATTTTCAACACGAAGAAACTCTTTTTCGGTGAGTAATTCATTAAAGAATTCATGATCCCTCGTAACATTGAAATGATAACAGTTGAACGTTTTGTGAGAGGTATGTTTATGAAAATTCATTGTTACAGATCCCTGAAACAGAATTCAATTAAATTCGAAAGTTTGGCGAAAAACAAATGTTTTTTAAGAAAAAATGGATCCTGTTACCAACCAACCCTTCTTTAAAATTCATTATTGTTTTCACAAATGTTTTCAAAGGCGTAATTCTACCGAGAAAGCTACGGTGCTGGCGAAACGCGTCTAGAAATAAAAATGTTTGTGAAAATTGTTCACTTATTATAATGGAAAATAAAAAAAGACAAACCAAATATTATTAGAATGTCAATCATTATTATCATTCTTTTAGAATGACATATGAAAAAGAGAAAAAACAATAATAGAAATGTCGGTAGAAAAGTTTTCAAAAAACGCAATAATATACCCAAACACGATGATCGTTAGATCTTCAGTTTCATTATTATTATTCAGACAAAGTACATGACTCACGAAGTATGGGTAATGATTATTCTTCACATTCTTTAGATATTTTTCTATAAACGCGATAATAGTACCAGAAACACAAAAATAATAATCGTTAGATTATTAGTCTTTCTCGTTATTTTGGCAAACAATTCACTCCAACAAAATATGGCACAACCTGTAATCAAAAATGAGGATCAATATACACTTTTTCCAGTTCGTTTCATAAAGAAGTAATGAAAATGATATAGTTTTTATGTAATTTTGACATAATTTGAAATATTTGCCAGTTCAAAGATGGGGGACTATTTAAGTCCGCATTATGAAACGTATAATGGAACCTTTTTTTAGAATTTTGTACAAGAGCGAAGATATCAGAACCGATACTTGTGCCTACTGGAGATACACAACGAACGAAAAACGTATCGAAAGCACATCTACCTATTCGAAACCCACCTGTTCAAACTTGATGTCAGTTTGTGAGAGTGAACTCGATGGATCGTATTTTGCCTTATTGAAAATGGAAAGAAATATCACAAACCAGTTGGAGGATATTTTGAATTCGTCCAGACCAGTTGCAAATCAGCTCGGAGATGTTTCTTCTATCCTGGAAAACCATTTTCAATATATAAAATCATACGATGTTTTTCTCATTGGAGAAATTGTAGGTGAGTTTGCAATGAAAAAAACATGAAGAGATTGTGAGTGATGTTGCACAGAATGATAAATGGGGGGGGGGTCCCCTTTCAACGCCAAATATCGTGAGTTCGAATCCTCCTTCAACTTTTCTCGCCAGAGTTTATCTGAAGGTGGGTTGATTCTGCTCCATTGCGAACACCCCTATTCCTGACCAAGTGGCTGGTGGAGTTAGTAGACATGGCCTACTCAGAATACGAACTTGATGACCATAGTAGGTAATCTAAAAAAAAACTATACTATATTTTATATTTTCAAAAAATCAGTACGCTATGTGAAAGGTGAGATTGATATTCAGGCCAAAAAGTCAATGGCAATCCAAAAAATCAATTAAAATATTAAACTGCGAGAAAAAAAATAATTCCAATGCAGAAAAAATAAAAATGAATATTTCGATTTCACATACTTCAAAGACTTCTCGTCCTAAAATCAGCTTGTAATAATCGATTGTGTGAACCGAATTGAAAAATATTGAATAACTAGGAACCGTATTAGAAATTGCACGTTACAAAATGAGATCTTGTTAATGATTAATTCATACAAGTTTTTACTTTTAAGGGTTGTCGTTTGTTCGTAGCTGACGTTTGACAGCTGGTTCACAGATTTCAAATAGTTTTTTTTTAATTCTACAGAGATAATCATGAAAACTCTTTGTCTTCTTATACATATCATAAGGGTTGAAAATTAATCTCTGCGGCCAAGGAATAATTCCTTGTCGTCTGCATATGAGGAATTTTATCACGTAGAAAAAATGTTTTTGATAGATCAGAACGTCTGTAGATCATTCTTCTTCAATCGAAAGTTGAGTATATCACAAGGTTGTCAGTCTATTTTCCAGCGTGAAATATTATTTCAATTATCATTGACACATTTGGAAAAACTGCTTATTCTGTTTCAGGTAAACTAGTTGATGAACCATCTATAACACTGAATCAAACGACCGTTGTTTCCAAAATAGTGAGTCATCTATTTCATGTAAACAAATCGGTTCTGAGGAAATCCCAACAACAACATCAAGCGACAGATAGGATTCTGTACTACATTGATAACATTTTAAAAAAATTCTCGGATAATGTTGATTCCAGAGCCATAATTCAGGACCATTTCACTATCATCAGGTACGATTTAAAAAACACCAGTATTGTAGGTGTCATGTTGAGTAGCTGCAACGATAAATATTGCGCAATATCTGCTCTAACCGACAAAATGAACATGACTGAGATTTCCGAAAATGAAAATTTCAATATGGCACTGATATTGAGTGAAGATTTACGCCAACAAATAGACGAAAACAGTGAAAGTGTCCAGCTGGTAACGAGTATTTTTTTCAACGATGATTTTTTCAACGAAAACTCACAAGAGCAGTATACTACTAGCAAGATTTTTGGTGTACTTCTCACAGGTACGTTGAGAATGGATATTTGTCCAAACAATTTCAAATCTGAAATATTTTAGGTTTGAAAAATCATATGACTGCTAAATTATCTCTGATTTATAATTCTGAGAAACATCAAGTGTTCGATAGCAATAGCTGTGCATTCTGGAATTATTTGGTAAGTACTTCATATGTAACCAACGATTTCTCAGCATAGATAGAACTGAGCTTTATTTTCAATTATCAGTAAAGAACTTTTCGACTTTACCCACTGTATTTTTCACAAGAACTTTCATCAAGAAAAACAATCTCAGAAAGGTCCAATCTAATCTGAGTAGTGCGTTTTGTTATTCGTAATGAAATGTGCAAAGTCATTTTTTTAAATACTCATTAGAAATACAATGGAATGAGTACAGTGCCACAGAATATTGGAACATAAAAGTCAGGTCAAGCTACTACCTACTTCCATTTGTAGTGGATGGTAGTAGACATTTCATTGTTACTGGCGACCTGATCCGACTTCGCATGGATAGCAGAACATATATGTCTTCATTTTTTTCCTGTCATAGAGTGTTATCAGCTTGTCCATGAAGAAGGTTTCCGTTTTCACCTGAAGAGCATGCTTTTAAAGATATAAAGGCTGCCATTTTCGCCTTCCCGAGAGTTCTAGAACAGTTTACAACATTCGAAAGTGTTCAAAAGCATTCAAAAACATTTTGGAATATCTCATAATATTCTGGAATAATCTGGAGCGTTCGGTTACATGCCGGGAACAAGAAGTTATAAGTTGTGTTAGCTTTCTATCTCTCATCAATAGAAAATGTGTTATTTTGTCTGACAGGTGGACTATTGTAAATATTGGGGCTGGAAATGTCGTCTTCTAGAAAATCCGGGAACACTAGAGAGTTGGCACCATTGTCAACTCCGTTATTATTCATGTTACGAATTCGGTTAAATGTGGAAACTAGTAGCATTTTTAATGGCCTTCTCGATGCCGAAGAAAAAATTGACAGTGACGTTTTCAAAATATTTCATAAAATGATATTTTTTGAAGGAATACTCTATATTTTATCATGCATTTTGATTCGTAAAAACATTCTCAACAACAAAGCTCATATCACCTTTCTTCCTAATGTTGAAAATGAGCGACTTATGTGGAAATATTTATTTATTTCACTATTACAAAAAAAAATCTGATTTGGCAAATAAAACCTCATGATTGTCCATAATTTTGGTACGTATACGAATGACAATATTTTGTTACTAACAGTAAAAAGAAAAATTTGCGCTGGGATTTGAACTTGTGAAACCCACCGAGCTTTCTGGTATTTATCTACAAAACGATAATTTCCATTTTTAAGCCATTCCACTAGCCGTATTTATTTTGTAAATCAAAATATGTCTGCTATAATAATTGCATTAAAGCCGTTTTTATACAGAACAAAAATTACTGGAGCATCATATTAATGCTGTTGGAAAAAAAATTGTTTGATTCAATAAAACAGAATTATTATGAGCAATCAAGTTGCCTTGAAACTTTGTTGAAATACTTTTTGACAACTATTAACTACTATTCGAATACTTTTCGAAATTCCTTTTTCCCATAAAGAAAAATGTGATATGTTAGAATCCTACTTGGTTTGCTAGAAAAATACCGTAAGACCATTCCAACACTCCAGCAGTTCGTTCCCCGAACGTGAATTACCTAATCGGCGTTTTTTTGCTGTGCTTCATCGTCGATTCAAGAAGTACGAAAACGTTTTCGAGAAGAGGAGAACTAAAAAACGTGTTGTTTTATCTGAAGTTACAGAAATTGACAATTCAGCCTACTTTAAGGTGAATCTGAATAATTCCATCAGAAATTTATCTAGAGAAATAGCTGTTACACCGTCTGTTATTCAACAAATTCTGAAGAAATATAAGATTTCTTCTTACAAGTTGAGACCACTGCAAATACTAGAATGGTGACCCTGAGAGACGATTAGGGTTTTGTCGGTGGTTTATGAATAAATGCAGACAAGATCCAAACTTCCATATTATATGGAGTAATGCGGCTAATTTTTCAAATTGTGGGATGTATAATAGAAAGAGTTTTCATTATTGGAGTAGACATAATCCATTTCTAGTCCATCTCCACAATTCGCAAGGACGATTTAGTATTAATGTTTGGTGTGGTCCATTCAGAGGCAGAATTTTCGGTCCATTTTTCTACCATGGTTCTTTGAACGGATCCCGTTACATTAATTTATAACAAGAGTGTTGAAAGAGTTTTCCGATGATATTGACCTGGAGGCTCGTCAGAGATCTATTTTCAGCAGGATAGAGCACCAGCACATAATTTCAGTTGCGTAAAAAGAATATTGCGAGACTGTTTTGGAAACAAATGGGTTGCTACAAATGGTCTTGTATTAAGAGGCCTCCTCGTTCACCAGATATCACACCTCTAGATTTTTATTTTTCGTTATTTCTGAGAAATGAGGTGTACAAAATAGATAAATATAATAATGAATATGAACTGAAAAGTTATGTTTAAATTATAATTGATAGAATTTTTTGCCGAAAGCAGCACGTGTTGAAAGCAACGTAGTGTCAAGAAAATGTCACACTTATGTGTTCAACAAGAAGGCAGTATTTTTGCATTTTCACTTGATATTTCATAGCTTTCCATTGGCTAAAACAAAAAACTTTTGTACTAGTGGAAGAAATGAATATTTCTACATAAGTCGTTCATTTTCAACTTTAGGAAGAAAGGTGATGTGAGCTTTATTGTTGAGAATGTTCATTCAAAAAATATCATTTCAAGAAATATTTTGAAAACGTGACTGTCAATTTCTATTAAAAATGCCACTAGTGTTTTGTATACTACAGCGTTCATATAAAAGTATTTTTTTCGAAAGTATCTCTAATATCACGGTTTATCCCATGGTTTATTGACATTCAATTTTTTTTATTTCAGACCGATGAAGAAAATTTCATTGGTGGTTCGTGGGAAAAGGAGGTAGGTCAAAAAGAAACTGGCAAGACGATCATTTGCGAATTCAAACACATAACCCACTTCGTCCTACTTCTAGCAGAGTCAGAAATTTTAGATAAAGCCACTGAACACATTCTAGATATAATAACAAACATCAACAGCGTGCTCTCTTTATTAGGACTGTTTGGAATTCTATTAACCACCGTTCTATTCGACAGGTGGCGTAATAATACCGGAAACCAGATCTTGATCAACTTCACCTTAGCTGTATCAATTAAAAACGTAATGCTCTATATAAGTGTTGGGGTGTTTACTGAAAATGGAACTGGAATTGGGTGTAGCATTACGGGGGCGATTCTTCATTACTCCATTTTGGCAGAGTTTTGTTGGATGCTGATCATAGCCATATTGCAGTTCAAGAGATTCGTTGAAGTGCTGGGGGGACCACTGAAATACGTTCTATTAAAAGCTTGCATTTGTGGTTGGGTTTTTCCAGCTTTGCCTGTTTTCCTCGTCATCATAATCGATGTTCACAATTACTCTCGAGGCCAACTACATCTCTGCTACCCCTCAGGACTATGGCTCTACGTTACAGTATGGCTCCCTCTCCTAATTATTGTAGTCATCAATTCAGTCATATTTTCTTTCATAATTTATAATGTTTTTCATAACAAGACAGTATCAAGGGATCAAACGAACCATGAGATTTTGTTCCAATGGCGCCTGGCTCTTTTATTATTTACCATGCTAGGGCTCACCTGGCTATTTGGATTTTTGGGGTTATTATCAGTTAGTAAAGTGTGTTTGGTTTTATTCTCTTTCTTAGCTTCTCTTCAAGGATTCTTGATGTTTTTGTTTTTCATTGTGTTCAATAAGAGTACTAGATTCTTATACACTCAAAGTTTTAGATGGTGGCTGTATTCCAAAGGTTACAGAAATCATTATAAGTAGATAGATTCGCGACTATTCACTTCATATATTTAAGGACCATTAATAAAAAAATCAATTGGTTGTAAGAATATAGACGAGCTCTTGAATTCAACAGAATATTTCCGATGCATTGCCAATAGAAACGCGCTTACGTTTTTGATGCACCAATAAATAAATCCATCGAATCAATCGGTGATTTCCCCAATGAATTCAAGAAATCGTCTTCCCATAAATAACTTGAATAATGTAATTTGGTACAATAAATGTCATATGCTATCATTTGGTTTGTATAACGTGTATATAGGTATATTTTAATACAAAAAAGTTATGAAATAATAATTTCTATGTAGCAATAATCAGAATTGGCTATGTAAAAGCTGCATATAGAAAAAATTAGATGGTTATATTTCATTGAGAGTGGAAGGAACAACATATAATATACAAGTTTTTGACACATGATTCATATTAAACCAAAAAATACGTATCGGTAGGTTTCCAACCAGCAAATTAGCAGATATTGGTGGTTTCGTCTACGGAGAAAATACAGAGAAGGGAAGTTACTTCTTCGAAAAAGTAGAACACAATGAGTATTTGAGTCGATATATAAACACCAACAACACAATATATCACATATTAAACGAAAGCAAGCATAGAAAAATTTATCACATCACACAACGGTCATTTTATGGTGGTAATGGATTTAAAATAGGGGTGAGCAGCAGCATCCTTGAGGAGAAGGAAAAAGTAGCCAGAAAATATAGTCAGAAAATTCAACATACCCGAAGTAGAATAATTGGTAATCAAACAGGAATTTGGAAGAAAAACGATAACATCGACTCAGAATGAGATCTGATCAACTCGATATCAATTAAAGCAGCAAACCAAGCAAGTCACAGATAAAATCTGTTTCGTTGAGGAGTCCAGGAGAGAGCTGGTAATCAACGAGAAGGTATAGTTAAAGTAAACGATATAGTGCAACCTACCCTCCAATAGCTCCCCTTTAATAATATTGTTATGGAGCTAACTAATTTCGTTATTCAATAATCATTTTATGTGATATGCTCCTCTCATGCAGACCTTGTAGGTACGTGTGGCAGATACCCAACGGAAAAACAAACAACCCACCCAGCTAATGCCGCGCAGAGAGTTGAAGTAAAACCATCAGGCACCTGTGCAAAGTCTTAGATTTGGAAGATTCGTCGCAAAAAACTTCCCACTATGAAAAGCAGAAATTAATTTTGTTTGGTCGATCCGACCAACCGATAGACCGGTTTCGGGGTGATTGCCTCATCATCAGTACCAGGCATGGTCTCTTCAGAACGATATAAACCGTCTGAGTATCACGACCAAATGAAAATAATTCCAGCTAGTCATAGAATATCTCTGCAGTTGATGTCACAATGCACCTCTGCGAAATATTAATTATTATTCCGATTTCGACCCCGGAGTATGCTTGTGGAATTGTTTCCTGGGTCCGTCTGCAGGTGGCGCAGTGGACATCTCACTGAATCAACTGCAGAAAAATTCTATGACTAGCTGGAATTATTTTCATTTGGTCGTGATACTCAGACGATTCACACCATTCTGAAGAGACCATATATATCCCGGGTGTCCCACATTTTATGTGACAGTCAATATCTGGTTTGTTGAAGGAGATACACAAAAATGTTTCATACAAAAGTTTTAGGAGTTCATGAGAGCTATATTTTGATATAATTTTTAAATATACAGGGTGTTTGGTGTAGGTGCTACAGACCAAAATTCCATTTTTTAAAATAGAACGCCCTGTATATCATTANAAACTGAACGTGTCAACCTCTTGTTCGTCCTTTTATGCGGTCCGAACGCCTTAGTGCTGATACTTCAGGTACTTTAGGTAAATTTGCCTTATTTGGGTTACACCAGGTAATAATATTTGTGTTGGATTTTCTCTGTGTTTCCTGTTCCTAGAATAGTGTATTGTTTTGTGAATTATATTGAATGTGAGGTTTTGTTGTGTTTTGATTTGTATTTGTTCCTCGATAAGTGAAATATTACTGTTGAATTTATGGATGTTTGAGTTTTCCCAGATATCCATTCGGTTTCCCTTATTGACTTGTTTTATGAGTTTTATGTTCTCTGGTGCCATACAAAACAAAAACATAATTTTCCTCCACCATGTTCTTATGATAATCCACATTATTTCAAAGAATTCGAAACCCATCCTTCACTTTCTCCGCAATACACAATGATTAGTTGTGATCCTTTGTTTGCAGGCATGTTAGGCAGACATTCTCGAACCATCCGTCCACCCTTTCGTAACTGTATCGTGAGTATCATAAGTACCAAGATTCGTCCAAATAGAAAATTTGCCGTTGTTCTTGTCTATATTTATTTTTTGGTTCTAAGTATTTGTTACGCAATTCCACTAGTCTTCTGCTTTCCATAACTGCTTGACGTTTGTTTGTTATTTTTAATCTAAATCCTAGTTTTTTATCCAATTCTGAAGAGTTTTCTCACAGCAGCTCACGTTATGGACGAAAGTTTTCAATTTCTTCCTTATGATTTCAGTTGTACGAACCTCATTGCTTTTGTAACAGTCGTATATTGTTTTTTTCAATGATTTCATTAGTTGAACATCTAAAGGTTTTGGCAATCCTGTATCACATTTTACGTACAGTTGAGAAAGGAATTTAGGTAAAATCTGATGTTGCTTGTAATAGTTTGTTTCCCTCGAAACCAAACTTGAGATGTAGATTCTTATATACATTGAAATATACCCTCTGTGTTTCAATATTCAGATGCATCCGAATATTATTCACTGGTATCCCTTTTTCGCATTGTTCCCTATCGATATTGGAATCACTTATTACTTGTCCAAGGACGCCATATTTTACACACATAACAAAAATTTTGAGTTATTATAACTGCACCAATATCAAATTTCAACACTCTAATCGCATTCAGTTCCTGAAATGAACACGACGGCTATAACCATCCCCACATTCCTCGATTTCTATTCGTCACCGTAACATAAAATTTAATTTTATGACTCTTCAGCCAATCATTATCCAATACAAAGATCCAATACAAACATCCAAGTCTACAGTCCATGTGGACTAGTTCGCTGTCAGTTCATTTCTATGTCTTTGCCTTTTAGAGTGCCGCCATCTTCAAATGTGTACAATATCGTTTACTTCGACCATTCGAATCAGCACAATACAAAAGTATTGGCCGAAGGACTCGAACCACTATTTCACATTACGGTCAAATGAATATGAATTGAATTATAACCACATTTTCAAAGTGAAGCTATTTCTTTGAATGGTGTTTAGTACTGCTATTTCATTCATATACTATAAGTAATAATAAAACAAATAGAAATTAACTGAACGAAGTTATCACATATTTGACATCACCAGTTAAATTAGTAAATATAAGATAAAAAAAAGATTAAATGAGAAAGAGGTGTAGATGGTGAAGCATTGTGATATAACAGAAAGGATGAAAACTCTACATGGACAATATAACTCTACTGGGGAGAACCAGAAAGGAATTGAGAACTATATTTGAAAAAAGTTAATATTTGCAAAAATTTGTAGATGGCGAATCAACGAAGATAAACCCAAACTTGAATCGAAAGTTTTCAATTTCTTCCTTATGATTTCAGTTGTACGAACCTCATTGCTTTTGTAACAGTCGTATATTGTTTTTTTTAATGATTTTATTAGTTGAACATCTAAAGGTTTTGGCAATCCTGTATCACATTTTACGTACAGTTGAGAAAGGAATTTAGGTCAAATCTGATGTTGCTTGTAATAGTTTGTTTCCCTCGAAACCAAACTTGAGATGTAGATTCTTATATCATCGACAGATCGACATCTGTCGAAGAAGTAAAGAAATAAGCTATCAAAAAAGGAATAACTGCGAATATATTCGAATTTTTTATCAATTTTTGAAAACGGAGGCAGATGTTGGCCTCCGAAACGTAAAAGATTGTGGAAAGTAACAAATAACGATAAAAAACTGATTTTTTTCCTCCACAGAAAATGACTTTCGTTGAATATGGTAGAAAGCATTTTGAATTGTTTAGTATTACGGATAAAGCTAAGAGTGACAAACATATAGAAATAAGAATGACTAAAGGGATCTAAAGCAGCTATAGATTTTAAAAAAATACAAAAAGCCAAGGAAAAGAAAAAATAGAAGCACAGTGGTAAGAGTATTGAAACAATGGATCTATGAGACTTCAAGTGCTGGCATACATGGATGCGAATATATGCACGAAAAAGTTGAATTGTTATAAAAAAGAGGATTGTGGCATTTTCGAGGAGTCAGTGTCAATATTATATTATTTTTAGATGATCAATCGAAAACACTTCAAGTAATGAAACAAATCTAATTTTTCATAAAAAAAAGAAAAGACAGTCTTTTCATTGAATCATATCATATCAGTCATTATGGAATGTTGTTTTCATTTCAAGCTACACAACGTTAACAATCATGATTTTGGATTCCGTAATCAATAAAATATTTAAAAGCAAGGGGTTACATATAACTTTTATTGTCAGGTTCAATCATTTCAAACTGAATTTTATGGAAATATGCAATGTTTAGTGAAACGATTGAACAATAATCATATTTACTGATTGAGGCAAGAAACAGAAGTTGAAACACTTCTAACATTATACTTACGTCATGTTATGTTATCAGTTGCGAGCTTGAAGCGACGTCTTCTTCCATTCAGTTTCAACTGGAATAATTTTTGGAGCGTAACAAAATGGGTGAATTCCATCAGTTCAGACTTCCATTTTCTATTATGATTCTAATATGATTCGAAATCTATGGAAGAACAAATTTTATTAGAATGAATAGCTAAAATATCAAGTATATCAAATAATGAAACGTGAATTCAAAATACAATGAAACGAATAAAATAATCAAGTTACAAAATGAAAATGATTGCAGAGTCATGTCTGGGGGTCATCATCCGAAGAAGATTGTGGATTGTGTCGTGAATTAACTTGGTTTGAAATATTCTTTAATTTATTGTTTTATATTGTAAGCGATCATTTAATAATTATACTATCATAATAGTAATACAAATTATAAAATAACAACAACAAAAATCAATTGGCGCTCTGGGGCGACTTGATTAATTCCAGTGACGCGTTTGCTTTTTCAACTGCAGGAAAACCCGGAAAAACCTGCAGCACCACATCATTTGAAGATTTTGATCTGCCAATAAAATGTAAGGTATCTCCAGAGTCTCAATAAATTCAAGATATTGCTAGAATATT